ATCGCTGCCTCAGTTTAGCCATCCCCAAATACTGTACATCTCTTTCTCATGCAATTGTCTTACTTTAGTTCTTACTCTTCTAAAATGTGTAACATAAAAATATTTTTCACATAGTAATTTGGCAAATCAGATCAAAGTATAGTAATAAACATAAACTTCTAAATGACAGTTGTAGGAAGAAGAGCATTGGACAAGGAATCACAAAAACTGGCTTCTTATTCGTTTTCTATAATCTTATATGGCCTTATTTGTTGAATGAAGAACATGACCTATCATCCCTATCTCAGATGGCTTTTAAAATGAAGAGATTAATATGTTTGAAAATGCTTTGAAAATTAAAAAAAATTCTCAATAAAAAATTGAGACAGTGTTTGTGGAAGTCAGATAACATTAAAAAGATTGAATAGCTTTTAATCAGAGACCTTTTAATGAGAACAGTGTGAGTCTCATAAGTAGGAAATAGCTAAAATGGTAGGATGTGGGGGGTGGCATTTCAGAGAGGGAACATCATATGCAGAAAGGAGTTATGAAATAAGATGATTAATATGGATTACTATAAGTAATTTAGTATGGCTGGAGTGTAGGATGTCCATGGAGGAGTATCAGGAGATAGGATTAGGAAATATGGATGTGCTTGAGTGTTTAATGAAAAGATATGGAGGATTACTTAAAAACTTAAAGGAATGACATAAACTTTGCATTTTCAGAAGTTTATTCTTATACTATTGTAGATGAAAAATGGGGACAGGGAAGGGGAGGCAAACTGGAGTTGGGGATACTTGAGGAAGCTGTTGGCATTTAACAAAGGGCAGAACCAAGAACTTGTAGTAACATGAATGTATAAGGGAAAACGATATATGCAAAAGACAATAGTGAAATGAAATCTATGGACCTATGTTTTGATTAAATGTGGGTGGCAGGGAGCTATTTACTAAAAGAGAAAATTTTATAATTATTCTAGGGTGTCTGGTTTAAATGGGATTCCTGTCATTCACTGAGATAGAGACCAAAGTGAATTTAAAGGAAAGGGTAAATTTGATTTTGATTTTGTTAAATTTGAGATATGTAGCTATATCCAAGTGCAAATGTTTTGTTTTCTGTTGCATAAAAGGAGAGGATTGGGGACTTGTCTCTGTGGTAAATGAAGCCCTGGGCATAGATCAGATCACCCAAAGCAGCATGTGGCTAAATCTCTGTTACACCCTATTTTAAAAATCTACCCCTTGAGAAATACACAATTCCTCAGAAACCTTAATACCCATGGCCCCCCTTTGAGTCATATTTCTGGTCCTTGTAGTTAATCCCAAGTCTGAGTCTTCAGTGAAAACCTGTCTTCTCACAATCTGCCATAAGGATCCCTAGGCCACTATTTTACCACTTCTTTATTGTTCTCATAACACTATGTAAAACTTGAAATGTTTTTTATTACTCTAAAGCTATATTACCAATCTAATCCAAATACACTTTTAACCTAATAGGGTCTTAGTAATAGCAGTCATTATTTTTATTTTTCTAACCTGGAGCTTACTATAAATTGGTTATAAAATGCTTTTCATTAGTTTATCCTCATGAAACCTATATGCTATTATAACATTGTAAATTCAGTTTATTGTAGTAGCATACCTGGAAATTCCCTCTTGGTATTTAACTGTAAAGCCAATTATTTAAATATATTAACTTGGCAGCTTTAGAACTTGAGGCTTTCTCAAAGTATAACCTTACATTGTGAGTTCCCTCCCATTCTTCTTACTCCCTCCTTTGTAATACTTTGATTGGCCTTGAGGAATTGTGTGAGTTGTGCTTTAGCTTCTGCTCATATGACTTTATAGCCTGGGTTCTTGATTTACTCTTCTTTCAAGTTTCTCTGGCCTCATTGCCCAGTTTTCCTTTTCTTTTCTATATCTGGCAGTGTCTTAACTAAGCTGTCTCCTTGCCACCGGGAGGTCAGATGGAGTGGAGGGCTTCAGGGACAGAGTGAGTGCTGGAAGAACTCTAAGGGCTATTGTGATGGATATGATATGACTCCTGCCTCAGCTCCCACAGATACACTTTAAAGTAGTAATTGCCCATCATATATGGGTCCTTCAAAATTCAAGGACTGCCAGCTGCCTTTAATTTGTAGGCATTCTTAAACATTTTTATGACTGCACCTAGATGTGAAGGAGGAGAAAGATGTTAAATTGATTCCTGCAAACATTTAAAAGGAGTGTGGTTAAAATGTCAATAGTAGACTGGCGGCAGATAGTGAAGAGACTACCTTTTTTTAAAAAAGAAGACTCCTGATCACAGTGCATGGTTTTTAGTCTTGTTTTTTGTTTGTTTATTTGTTTTAACAAGTAGCCATTCATTTGGATATGCAAACATCAACCTGTGACTACTTCTTAATGCCATTTTAAAATTGTTTCAAGAGTGTTTACAGATACCTGAGAACATCCTCAGTTCACAGGTCAGTATACATTTTTTTGCATTAAGAAGTAGGAGGCAGAGGTTGCAGTTAGCTGAGATCATGCCACTTCACTCCAGCCTAGTTGAAAGAGTGAGACTCTGTCTCAAAAAATAAAAATATAAATAAAAAACATATATATATATATATATATTTATGTGTGTGTATATGTGTGTGTGTGTGTGTATATATATACATATATATGTATATGTATATGTATATATAGGTAAATATATATATATATGTGGGAGCCAAACATTGAGTACATATGGACCCAATGAAGAGAACAGCAGACACTGGGACCTACTTGAGAAGAGAGGGTAGGAGGAAGCTGAGTATTGGAAACTACGTATTAGGTACTATGCTTATTACCCAAGTTACTAAACAGTCTTTACACTGAATCCCCATGACATGCCATTTACCTATGTAACAAACCTACACAGGTACCCTAAACCTAAAATAAAAATTTAAGAAATAAAAAAATACGCTTTATTTATTGGACAGTGGTATTTTAGTGATAAAGTACAAATTTGTCCTTTGCTTTTTTATGCCAAAGAAAAATAGTAGTTCCCAGACATCTACATTCTAAACCTATATAGAAATCTGCATGCTAGCCGGTAAAAAGAATTCTTGTTAGATTTTTCTAAATTGTAAGTCAGATTTATATGAAAAATCAGGTTATATTTTTTCCTTTTATTTCTTTGGTAATAGCAATGAAAATACTATTTTAAAATTCTGGATTCATGTTTAGTACAGCTATTCTCCCAGTTCACTGGATTTAATCTGTGCAAAGTATCATTTGAGTGCAAGAGTTAGCATTGTTTTATTTTGTTTTTGTCTTGCCCCTGACATTCTACTCTGATATTAAGCCATTCTTTTATAGTTAAATGAGACATGCGTGGGTGATTTGCAGTTAACTGCTCGCCCCCACACATACAAATGCCTCAGCTTCGTATCTAATCATGATTCATGCCTTATGCCAGACTCTTGCTGTCATCCCAGTACCAGCAGATTGTGGGGCTAGACCCCTGGGGCAGTATGACCCAGTGTTCTAAGGTTATGTATTTTCTGGTAGCAATGGTCAGAGAAGGAAAGATTTTAACAGGGCAAATTAAGTTTAGCTTTTTATGGCTTTTTGCTTTTTTTTTTTTTTTTTTAAAAAAAAGAATCTTAGATGTCCCATTTTCAAGTGATACCTTAAAAACTTTTTTTTTTAGTCCAATAAAATAAAAGCACAAACTGGAGTGTTACCATTCTTTAACTCCAAATCCTGGTAGTCAGGGGGTACAGTGGTTTTTCACTTTCCTCAAACCCATGATTAGAAATACATTTTACATACAGTACATATATACTTACAGGCACATATACATCTGCATACACATAATTCAAACCAAAATTTCAATAATAGCGTTTGACCTTACCACGTGCAATTTTTTCTCTTTTTTCTTGTTGTAGATGTTGTTAATTCTTTCTCTCTTTTTAACCAGTTTCTGATCTTCATTCCCCAAGCAGATTTTAGTGCTTACTAATGGATTGGGACCCACAGTTTAAAAAACTGTATTAAACAATCAGTACTTATTATAAAGAAATATGTTTCTTACTTTTTTGTGGACTTTCTCAAATGTTAAAAATGATTTTCCTACTCTTTAGTGATCACAGCAGCTGCCATTTAGTTAACAAGAAACTTTTAGGGTTTTCTGTTATTTGTATGTACATCTAAGGATCTAAAGGATACGGAGGAGCTACATATAGAAACAAATTTCAATTGAATGTTTTAATGAACCTTATAACCCTCTAGCTTTAAACACATGCCATTTCTCTTCATTGTTTACAAATAATTTATTTCCTTGAGCTTTTCTTTATTTTTGTCTTATATTTTAATAGGTCATTCTTTCAGTAACATACATGAAGTAGCTTGTTTCAATAGGCCCTTTATTTGTATTTTAACAAAAAAGAGGCCTCTTGAATTTCTGTATCACCAAATAGAGTTCACAATACCATGGAGTTTTGTAATGTACTATTTCCCGTCTTCATTAATGGTGGTGTGAATGAGTTGTATGAAAAGCATGGGAGTCATGGAACCATATAATCACCTCGACTCTCATTTATTCATTCCATATAAAATGATAGGAGGTGAGTTTTTTGTCTATATGATTGCCATTTTTTAAAGTTGTTATAGCATTATAGGGAACCATAGAGTTGATATAATCGCTCTTAGAATTCAGAAGAGATACAGAAAAAAGCATTTCTATTCTGAATAGAAAGGGTTAGAACTAACATTGAGAATAAATTTGGTATGCAAATGATATATTCAGAAGGAACTTCTGTATAGTCTGTTAATAAAATATTATCAAGTGTTCTGTGCAGATTAAAACTCAAGATAAAAGCAGCTTATGGAGCAGAAGGTAATTTTATATAAACATATATATTTGAATGTATACTGAAACTAATTTCCATTATGGGTGGGAAAAATTCTTAAAGAATTTATTGTAGATAACAGTTGTCAGTGTTAGCATTAAAGATTTTCATTGAAGCTCTTTGTATGTATCTCTTGTAGATATGGAAACAAGTGAAAAAATCCAAGCAAGTGGAATACTTCAGCTGTTTGCAAGTCTGTTGACTCCACAGTCTTCCTTCAAAGCCAAAGTAGCTAACATCATAGCAGAAGTAGCCAAAAATGGTGAGGTTTACCTCAAGAACTTTTCTGCTGGGAACATCTTCAGTTTTACATCTTACTTGTCAGTATGCTTTATTCATTTATGTTTTAATTTTGTAGATTAGACATTTTTAAATTTCATTTATCTTTTGTTCAGCTCTTCATGTAATTGTTTTAAATGAGTATAGTTATAGTCATCCACACATGTCCCATTTGATAACCCATTCTTTCTCAGTAGAATTATGGGAAAGCTCTGCTACTCTCAACTATACTTGCGTTATTTATTACTTTGAGTATAAGATTCTTAAATTTGCCACTGAGTCATTTATCTTTTTTGTCATAAGAGATAGCATATTTTAAAATATTTATGTTTGTTTGTGTTATATCCACATAAACTTACTGTTCTTTTTTAGTTTTGCCTACTGTTCCGATATTGGCACTTGACTTTAGTATAGTGGGAATATATGTTCTATTTTCTGCACTCACCTTTGTGGAAAACCTATATTTCTTAAGTTTCCATGTAAGTTCCATTTTTCTTAAGCTTTCATGTAAGAATACTCTGGAAAAAAAAATGACAAAGTTTAGAATACTTAATCCATCACATTATGTACTGTGTATACACTGAGACTCACATTCTTTGGATGAATTATATCATAGCATAAATATTTGCATATGGTCATGCAAATTCAGTCAGTTTTGAGGAAAACACTGAATTTCTAGAGCAATTTTTAAGCATAAGAGAAGGTCATACTATATATAATACCTTTAATGTGCCTCAGTTTGTCAGTTTTACATTATTTTTTAGCCTTTTATTTAATATGTTTCATATATTATTCTTTAAAGCAAAAGAATTTAAAAATTCTGGCTTCATTTGTGTAATTATCATGGCAGGTAGCTTTGTAAAGTACCAGAATATGTTGATTTGGGCTGGTAAAACAATGTATTTTTAGGTGTGCTATCAAAAAGAAAATTGTTGTGAAACTGTGTCATTTATGTAGAGGTTCTCAAAATGCTTTGCAAGTTCTAGTTAGATTCTATATTGGCATATCATTTTTTGGTGGTTGTTAGAAAATTGGCCACCTATCACTCTTATATGTCACATCTAAGAAGCAGATATAGTTTGAAAATGAATTCTTTCCAGACATGGCTTGTTAAGCTGGACCATCCACTGTCTGAATTAGCTTAGACACAAAGCATCTTGGCTTTTAAAAGCAAGTGTTTTAACTTTGTTAGAGTTACAATATAGATTTCCAGAAATCAAGGTAGAGATTCCACAGTTTTTATCTTAAAATCCTTTTTTTAGTGTTCTTGTATTGTAAATTCAGAAATTTTGGATGACAGATTTTTGTGAAATGGATTGCCATTCCTATATGCTCTTACTTAATAATATTCCTCATAATGCTCTGTCACAATTTCATGACAACTCTGCTGTGAAGAGTTTCTTCTGGTTATATTCTAGTAGATGACAGCTATGTTCTAAAGATATAATAGAATTTTTAATGTTTATACTTTTAATCAGAGGCTGGTAACGGGCATATCACTAACCTCCACTGGTTAAAATAAATAGGATACATTGGTATATTAGTACTGTGACCACATTACTTTTTTAAGTAATTGGATGAGAAAGTGGACCGGAATCTTGTTGAGTGGTTTTTTTGGGGGTTTTTTGAGACAAGATCTTGCTGTGTCACCCAGGCTGAAGTATAGTGGCAGGATCACGATTCACTCCAGCCTTGACCTCTTGGGCCCAAGCGATCCTCCCACCGCAGCTTCCTGCGTAGCTGGACCATAGGCATGTACCACCATGCCTGGCTAATTTTTTAATTATTATAATTTTTTGTAGAGACAGGGTCTCTCTATGTTGCCCAAACTTGTCTTCAACTCCTGGGCTCAAGGGATCATCCCACCTCGGCCTCCCAAAGTGCTGGGTTTACAGACGTAAGCCATTGCGCCTGGCCACTGAGTGTTCTTTTCAAAACAAGTACATATCTTCAGAAATGCAACCTGACACAACATAGTATTGGGCATGTATTTCTTGTTAGAAACTGACAGTGAAAAAGATTGTATGAACCAGAGAATATGAGGTTGGAAGTTAAATTGTTCATCTTTACTTTGCTGTGCACAGAGGAGAAATATCAGCATTTAATTCTTAGATTCAGATAAACCCCAAATAGGTTTTTGTGCATACAAAAAGAATCTTTAAAAATTAACACACCTTTTACTGACATTCAAAATTTAGAGGATTTGTAAGAAGTTCCATGGGTGAGTTCAGTGTGGGAGGGTAGCTTTGACTAGAACTTATAGTAAAAGATTTTTTAGACCTTTTAACTGTGTTATTCCCTTATATAATAGACTTGAGAATGATATGAGGTAAAAGGACAAATAAGCAAGATATGATGTGTCTGTGAATATTTCAGAATTGGACTCTCAAAGTAATAATAATAGTAATAGTGCTTAATGCTAGCTATGATTTTGTGACCACATAATTTAAGTGTCATGTACATTATTTCAATCCCATGTGAATTAGGGTTATTTTATATACATGAGAAAACATGGAAGCTAAATATCTTGCCTATCATCACACTTATGTGATAATAGTTGGATTTTGTGCTCTAGTTTGTTTTCTCTCCTTTCATTTTTTTTTTTTAGTAAATGAGATTTTATGTTGGCAGTGGAATGTGTAGAGGTGGTCTGAATACAGGGGTAGTAGCATGTAACCTGAAAGATTCGGCTGGTAACTGACATGAAAATGTATAAAAACCAGCAAAAGTTGAAACTGCTTTATGTCTGTTGCTGTAAAGCAGCTCCCTGCCTTTGACCGTAGCAGCAGTAGACTCACCCGGGAACTTGTTAGATGCAAATTCTTGGATCCACTCACTCAGACTTACTGAATCAGGGACTCAGGAGTGGGCCCAACCATCTGTTTTAACAAGTCTTCTAGGTGATTCTGATGAGTATAAAGCTTGAGAACCAAGTTTCAGTCTAAAGCAGTACAGAATCAGTAGTTTCGATTAACATTACTCTTTTTTGTTCTTCTGTGTACTTTATCATATTGCAAAGTGTTTATCAAAACTTCCATCTGAGTGCTTTTAACAAAAGAGTGCAAGACCTTCGGTGAGCACTAACCACAAATACAGAAGTCTCCTGTTCTGTCTTATTAATTTTATTTATTTTAATTTTGTCCTCTACTCCATAACAGATACATGTAGTACGTGTTTATTTTAGTATAAAATGCATGCGTGCCCTAGAAAAATCATTGAATAAAGTTGAGACTTCAGAAAAACGCACTATGTTGTCAGGTAGCTTAAAGTATACCTTGAAACCTCAGGGTTGGAAGCTTAACCTTAGTCATTTTGTAAGAAAGATCATCAGTACTTTCTTTAAAAACTAGGGCGGTACAAAGTGTGAATGGAAAATATAAATGTCACTCATTCTTTTATATTCATGCCTCATAGTTTTCCTTGTTTTTGAAAAGAAAAGCTAAGAATTAATATGGGGAGGTTATTAGAGAAAATTGAAATGTGAATATATATTATGATTTAGTCTCATAAACACTAAGGTAGACTGTACTACTTAGTGTTTTTATTTGGCTTGAACATTTGTTTTAAAAGAGTTTTAAGGTAGCTGAAAGTGGAGAAAGTAGACCAGGTTTTTTATTATTTGAGGATATGTGAGAGGGATATAAATCTCAGTATATTTAAAAAGAAAATAATTTTATTTTGTGGTTTTCATCACAGCCTGTACTTTATGATGCTGCTGGATGAATATGTAATTCAAGTAGGTTTGAGAAAGTAAAAGCAAAAAAGTAAAGTGTTAACACTCTAGATTTAGAAAAGAATAGAAATAATCAACAATTATTTAATGAATATATTACTGCAGTCAAAGAGAAAAACATTAGTCTTAGGTGGAAATCAGCTTTTTATATTTATTGATATTGAAATAGAGCAATGCCTATTCCTTCAAACCTCTGTGTTAAATTTCTATATTAACTTATATGTGTTTTGCAAAAAAAAAAAAAATGAATTCTATGCTGTATAGGCAAATACACATATATAGAAATACTTAGTGGCTCCTGCTTTCTACAGCATAATGTCATCCACTAACACTGATTTCTAGTCACTGTCATGTATCTCAGTTTCAGCCTCTCCCCCTTGCAGTACTGCCCTGCTCCCTTAACCAAAATTTTCAGTTCTCTGAGTTCATATTGCCAAGAGAGAAAATCTGATTTTCGCTTTTTTTTTTTTTAAGTTCATCACCATTGCTGTTTTTAGGAAATCTTTCAAAGTAGACCATCTCTTAAGCTACTGAGTCAGAATCCAGCGAGCTGTGAAAGGTAGCAGGTGTGAATGTAGAGAGGTATAAGTAATAGGAACCCCTTTGAAGAAAGATGACTGTCAGCCATTCTGAAGCCTCTCTAATGTAATATGTATAACATTTTAAAGATATTCTTATACATCCCTGGTATTTTTTAAAAATATATATCTGTCTGAAGCATGATAACTTCATGTCTTTAAAATTAGCTAGTGAGGGCTACCACTCTTAAAGATTTTTAGAAGAAATTTTTTTTTTGCTTTATCCAGGGACTGACAGTGACTAAAAGCTGAGGAATATATATATTAGCTTTGTTTCATCTTTATATGTTTTTGAGTAAAAATGGCTCCAAAAAGTTTTGATTCCATAATTTTTCTATAATTATTTATTCTCCATTATTCCAAAAATACTTGAAGCTATTGATTGTAGAGACAAAATTTTGAAAGATTGGTGTCATATATATAAAGCATAAGAGTAAAGAAACACAGTAATTCATTAATGTTGCCATTGCCTGAAGAATAACAATAACAAAACAAAATAATAAGATAAACAAGTTTTATTTATGAAATGAGTACAAATCATACCATTCCTAAATTTTTTGTTTTAGTGGTCAATGAGATCATCTTACTGTTGGGAACCAGACATTGTTCAGTGAAAAGTATAATGAACATCTGTCTTTAATATGAGTTAGTGGCATATTTTAGGATTTGAAATCTAGGCTAGGCATGGTGGCTCTCACCTATAATCCTAGTACTTTGGGAGGCAACTATGGGAGGATCACTTGAGACTAGAAGTAGAAGTTTGATACCAGCCAGGGCAGCAGAGTGAAACTCTGTCTATTAAAAAAAAAAAAAAAAAAAACAACTTGTGCAGGCATGGTGGCTCACGCCTGTAATCCCAGCACTTTGATTGGCCAAGGTGGGCAGATCACGAGGTCAGGAGTTCGAGATCTGCCAGCCTGATGAAACCTCATCTCTACTAAAAATACAACAACTAGCCAGGTGTGGTGGCATGCGCCTGTAGTCCCAGCTAATCAAGAGGAGGAGGCAGGAGAATTGTTTGAATCCAGAAGTGGAGGTTTCAGTGAGCCGAGACTGCACCATTGCACTCCAGCCTTGGTAACAGAGCAGCAATACTCCGTCTCAAAAAAAAAAAAAAAAAAAAAAAAAAAATTATCTAGGCCTGGTGGTACATGTGTGTAGTTTCAGCTACTCAGGAGGCTAAGGTCAGGAAGGATCCATTAAGCTCAAGAGTTCAAGGCTACAGTGAGCTATTATTATGCCATTGCATGCCAGCCAGGGTGAGAGGGTGAGACCTTGTCTCAGGGAAAAAAAGATTTGAAATCTATGAAGGGTCTAAAGTAACCATTAACTAAAGAGGTACATAAGCAGATTGATGTGTCATCTCCTATAGATGGTGATTGAATCCATGAACATGTATAGCATAATTTATTTTCTTAACATGAGTGATGGGATACTTAATATTACTGAGTTTAAACCATCAATGACAAACTCAAAGGTTAGTTGTTGACATAGGAAATAATCTCAGTCTTAGAAGTTTATATTACAAGGAATTTTTAGTGATAGAATAATAAGAAGGAGATGATAGGAATTAAATTCTTTAGGGAGAGAGGAATACCTCTGTGACTTATAGCTGTCTTAGTAGGAAAAGAAGTTGTCTCAGAGGTGACAGATGACAGAATAACCTATATGGTGTGCTCTAAGAATTTGAAAATGAAGGGAGAGGGAGGATTGCTTATGAGGGTACCTGTGGAACAAACTAAGGGGTCGACCACCTTGATAGTGAAAGTGAAAAGATAGTGATTTTTTAGTAGGACAGGGTATAGATAGAGAAATTAGTTCTTTATTAACTAACATTATTGACCAGAACATCCTTATGGTGAGTTGTGATGTCCAAAAGATAATTTGGTTATTGATATTGGAAAACTTTGATCAGTTACATATGTCCTTATGTTTTGTAGTGGTCCATCATGAGACACTGTTAAAAAAAAAAAAGTTTATGTTCAATCATGACTGTGGTGGTATCATGGGGAGTTAATACATAGAGAATGGTATGCCATAAATATAAGGAAAAAATGAGTTTGAAATTTGAGAAATCTTAATTATTCAGTGCTTGAGACCTATAAATGTATGGGTGCAGCAGCAGATATGAGTGAGCCATAAAACAGATTTTAATAAAGGACAGGAATGAAGATAAGAAGTGGATGATTCCACTATATCTTACCAACCAAAAAAGGATATATTATTTTTTAATGGTCATTGAACCCCTTTAAAAAATATATATATATAAATATATATATATATATATATATATTTTTTTTTTAAGAAAACAGTGAAAAATTAGGCAATTTGATGGCTTAGTTTATAACTGTAGTACTTTAATCATCAGGCTCGCAGAAATACATTGCCATTGTTTCCATTATCACACATACTGCTTCCAAAGCTCATCAAGTTATTACAAGAAGATAGTGATAAACTAGTTGTAATGAAAGTTAATTAAAAATCCTTTTGGTTTATGGCAGAGGCTATCAGCAAACAAAAATATGACCCCACTCATTTGTGTATTCTATGAAGCATTTAGTAGGGCTCTAATAGGGTACTTTTGAACAGAAATGTACTCTTCAAATATTCAGCTACCTTTTCAAGATGGTTTTTAAATACCATATATTAAAAGTAGGTATTTATTTTGTTGGAGGGGTTGATTTATGTAAATTGTGAATTGTTAGATTTTTAATTAAATATGTCTCTTATTTTCAGAGTTTATGCGAATTCCATGTGTGGATGCTGGATTGATTTCACCACTGGTGCAGCTGCTAAATAGCAAAGACCAGGAAGTGCTGCTTCAAACGGGCAGGGCTCTAGGAAACATATGTTACGATAGCCGTAAGTGTTGACATATAAGTACTACACATACATTTTTAAGAATTATGATATTCAGACTAATCTACTTTGGTGTTAGCACTGACTGTTCTAGGCTAAAACACTAACATGGGTCAGTATGATTTAGCACTGCTTATTTAACAGAATTTATGGAGATTTGGGCCATTGTATTCTTACCTAAGAAATCACAGGAAATGAATTGTTTTCCTCTATTATCACAAATGATATTTTCAGAGGAAATTAAGTCAGTTTCTAAGAAATTGGGCTTTAAGTTGAGAAAAAATACATATGTCCATCTTCTCAATTAGGTTTCATTGAAGTAATATCTCTGAATGAGAATGGTTATGGACACAGTTTTTTAAAGTTTCTATGTCTGTCCAAATACATTTTTAATTACTTACAATTCAGTAAAACCAATCATAAAAACCATTCTCTTCTCAAAAGCTAGATTGGCCCATTGCATTTGTATTGACTTCATTCCTATTTGTCATTATATCATTGTCATCCTCACCACCTTCTATAATATACTGTTCTTACTAGGCAAAGAGCAAGAACTGGGGTATGGGTATATTGTAGCTCTGTTACCATTTCTTCTTTCCCTTTTTACATATAAACAAAATACAGAAAAAAATCTTAAGTATATTTAGCTTAATTAGGGTTATCCTGATTTTCCTTAGATTTCTATTTTCTGAGCCAAAACACATATTTTATCATTCACCTATAAAACCTCCTAGGAATTTAGTTTTATTTCTATAGCTAGGATAACTTTTAATGCTTATTTTCCCCATTGAGTATTTGACTCAAATGAGTTATATTTTGTGTACAAATGCAAAAGATATGGCCCTTTTATAATAGCCAGTCCTCCGAAAAGTGATTTATGCATATGAGCCAGAAAGAAAGGACATAAATACCTTCATTTATGATATAAGAAAGAAGTAGGAAAAAGCATTGAAACTACAGTTGTAACTCATATATAGCAGGAGTGGTAAAACTAGCCTCAGTGATTCTCCTTTTTTCACTTTTTCTGAAATAGGAGTTATAATAGCCATAAGTATTGAAATATCAATAATTATTCTGAGGACATAGATGTCTTAATATAAATTTTAACTCATAGTTTTTAATTCCCAATATAGCCTGTAAATCTGCATATCTGCACCTTCCTTCCAGTTCTTTTTATCATAGGTTGTTAGCTTTATTTAAAAAATTCTATTACTTTATGTTTATAACTTTGTGTTTTTATATTTAGGGTTTTTATTAAGCACCATAGTTTATAATATCAGCTTTTAAGAATGAACCGCTTATTGTATATTTATATGATTAATTTTAGCAAAATATATTAAAAAGACCTCAGCTGAGTAAACGATTAATGACTGTACTTGGAGAGTATTGATTATTGCTGTTTTTATTCTTATCCTTCTGTGTTTGTAACTGGAATGTAAGGGTACCAAAAGTATTCTTTAAACCTTGTTCATTTTAGTTATTCTTGAATATACATTGTTTGAACACAGAGAATATTACCTGTTTTGAGAACTTTTGTCCTGGAGTTTCTCCTATTGATAAAATAGGAGAAATACAAACAGTGATAGTTTGTCTCATATTGCTTTGGTTTTTGTGGGCATAGAGTAATTTTATTTCCTGTGTATTCTAAAGAACCTTGAACTTAAGATAATAAATGTCTAGTTAGTTAACAAGATCATTCTTTTGCTGAAACTGAAGTCTATTATTATAGTATTTATCACATTTATTTACTTTATCTTATGAGGTATACAATATAAAGTTCTATGGATATCCTTTAAGCTATGAAGTTAATTTTTTTTTATTTCATTGTAAGTATTTATAGCCAACTTATCCTCATTTAGTTCAGTGGAAATCAGAGCTAAATGGTTAATTAAGCATAGTAAATACAGGTCATATTTTTATACTTATAAACTTCAGTTCAGGAAAATGAAGTTGGAAGTCTTAAAAATGAATAAATATGAGAAGTGATTCATTACTTACTGTAAATATATGATGAAAATGTATTTGTTGTGCCATGCTTTCATATGCATATAATTTCTATAGACTGCATGCCTTCTTACCCTTTTATTTAAAATTAAATTCGGTGAACTTCTTAGTGATTTCTCTAGAATGATTGTAGGACAGTTGTGGTATTTATACTTGAATTACAAGAATAATATAAAATTCTGTAAATGTGTGGTTGATTTGTTAATTTACTTGAAATGCATTTCTCTTTTTATTTTGTGGCTAGAAATGTTATTAATTCACCAATCTTCTTCACTCTCAGGAATGTAATGCTTCATTTTTAAAAGGAGTATAGAAAACTACATGATAGCCTTGTGATCAATACAAAGAATCTTTATTTTTCAAATAAAGTATGTTTTAAAGTTCATATATTTGTGTTTTATCAAACTTATCTGTGAGGCTAATCAGTTGATTTCTATTTTATTAATGTACTCCAAATGAGTAATTTTTTTAATGTAGGTTTATTCAGGATGATAGTAGGCTTACAACAGATAGTAATGTTGACGTAAATAGAAAGTGGTATAAGAATTCACTGTTGGATTGCCTCTCAGCCTTTTGGCTAAGATCAAGTGTAGAATTCACTATTGGAGATAAAAATTTGAGAAATTCTTACATGTTCTGTAGATTTTTACTTTGACACATGAAAAGTAAAGTATTACCTAGCACATTTCAGTTAGCATAGTGTATTTGAAAGGAGACAAGCTCCAACTGTAGAAGGAATTACCATAAAATCCATGTAAATCTTTGGAGAAAAACTAGGTCAGATTTCAGTTTTTACCAGCCTTGACAGTGCCCATTTTAGGAACTCTTCCTAATGGAAGAAAACAGTCTTATATAATCCTAACATGAGATAACAGACTGACATTCTGCTAAATGGGATGGAGTAAAGCTTTGTTGCTGATGAACTTTTTGAATCCCAGTCTCCCTCTTGCATATAGAAATGAAAGAATCACTGGCTTGAGAATGTTTTTCATTTAAAATGCTTGGTCTTTTTTCTTCCAGAGAGCCTGTGAGGCACTTTATTTGTAGATTTCTCTTTCAAAGTATCCAGACTTATGACATAAGCAATATTTTTAAATGCTACCCTTTAACTTTGCCAAAATAACTCTTTTTATGAGAAGTTCGCAATCTTTCAGATCAGAGAAGAAAGGAAAATTGTGTTTCAGTTTGGAAAGAAATAATCAAAATTGTGCATTTGATGGGATATACCAGGAAATGTGGCTTTAAAGCCCAGTATTATCGTATTTCAGAAATGCATGCCTTTGGCCTATTTACACTTCTATTCCAAAGGTGTTATAATAAAGAAGATTATGTTCTTATATAGCCATCTTTGTGGCATTCTTCATTTTATTGATTTGTTTATATAACTGCACATTTTAAATTGTTGATATACTTAAATGGCCTTTAGTTTTAAAAAGCTTTATGTTAAATTCCCATCCTATATTTATAATTCCTGGGGATAAATTGGTGATTTGAGACTAGTGTTCAGTTTGTGGATATTACTGCTTGAGGTCAGGAAATAATTGTTACTTGATCTACTTTTAAAAGATATTAGTAGAGTCTAGAAGAAAGTGATTACATGAAACTAAATATTTGAAATATTTGTGCCTTTTTATACACAGAGGAAGAATAACGTACAAATCAAAGATGTTTTAAAATTAAACAAATATACCTCTTTACAGAAATAAAATTAATGTTTATTATGTAACTGGTACTATTATTGGAAAGATTTGCACACTTAAGCTTTTATGATATGCTATCTTACATGAGATTAAAAAGTTGTATTTTTCCTCACTGATGAGTAAATAAATATTAAAATGAGCCAGTGTTTGTGAAGTGAAATATTGTTTATTCATTGATATCAAGTGTAAATGGGAAGGATGCTGAAACATATGCATGTATCCATTTGTATATTGGTAATTCTTGTACTACACTATTTTTATATAAAGGCTTTTTATATAAAAATAAAGCCTCTACACTATTTTAATACAAAGGCTTTATTTTTATATAAAAAGCCTTTATATAAAAATAGTGTAGAAGGAATTCATTGTTCTTCCTGCAAATGCTGAAAAATAGTTACTAATAATTCTACAATATTTTATTATATAAGTTGATCAGAAAGCATATATTAATATAATACAGAAATACTTTGAAATTGCCAAAATAATCAAAGTATATTTGCAGCAGTTACATTCAAAAGGGAACTATTTATATCCAACATTTAAAATATATGTTTATTTCAGTGATATCAATTAGGTTAATTGATTACTTATATTTGTTATGTTATTAAAGTCTCATGCAAGTCTTATCCTATTTTCTTTGTTATTCAGTTTTAGAATAAAACAATTATCAGTCTGTAAGTAGTATAAAATTAAGATTATTTAATTTTCATCAATTAATCTGTTGTATTTTATGGTGAGTTTATTATTAAAGTACATCATATATATAAAAATAAACAATATGCTACTACTACTTTTAGAGATAGTAATTATGACTATTATCACATGAAAGCATTCCACTATAGAGACATTCTAAATATAGATTGAAGTAGATGTTGTTTTGTAACTCTGTCATAAGCTCTAAAAACAAGCATATGCCATTAAGGAGCTTTTGAAATGGTAGAAAAAATAAAATGAACAAAGGAACACAACTTGAGTACAATTACAGAGCACACACTAAATATATGTTTTCTTATCAGAATGAAAATAAATATTAACTGTAGCTTTTTTTAGAAATTAACTAAATATTGCATTCCTTAGAAAAAAATAGAATTTGTTTAAAAATTAATATAATTATAAAAATATAAAATTTTAATATAACCCCTAGAAAGTGGATATTGCAAATGAATGTGATTTCCAGCTCTACCAAGTTACCATTTAATCTTTCTGATTTTAGTTTCCTCATTGGTAGAATAAGTTTGTGTGGATTAAGTATGTTTTATATAAAAACTGTGTGTGACTCAGTGTAATACATACAGTAAG